AAAACTTATTATAATTATCAATTTTGAGTGAATAATCTGCAGTAGTTACTAAAATATCGCAGTTTTCGTATTTCTGAAAATTACCGTTATATGGGAAGTAGGCGTGGTTATTGAGCGATTTTAAAAATTTTCCGCCAATTGGCATGCTGTGCGAAGGCCAAGAACTGTGCCAAGTTTGGAAGAAAGTGGTTCAGCGGTTACCAAGATATACACATGTAACCATAAGTGGGCGTGGCTACGCCCATTTTCCAAAAATTTGTAATATTCTTATTTTTTGTCTAAAAGTTATTGTAAATCTCAATTTTGAGTGAATTATCTTCAGTAGTTACTAAAATATCGCAGTTTTCGTATTTCTGGAAATTACCGTTATATGGGAAGTGGGCGTGGTTAAAGTCCGATGTCGCCCATTTTGAATACGAACCTTCCTTGGATTAAGGGAAACCTACATACCAAATTTCGTTGAGATATCTCAATTTTTGCTCGAGTTATCGTGTACACGGACGGACGGACAGACGGACAGACGGACAGACGGACGCACAGACAGACATGGCTTAACCGATTTCTTTTTTCATCCTGATCATTTATATATACATTTGTCTATATCTATCTCGATTCGTTTTGGCTGTTACAAACAACCGTTATGTGAACAAAATTAATATACCCTTGTGCACAAGTGCGCTCGGGTATAAATATATTTGCACCTCTGCTCGTTCAGCCACAGCCAGACATACGAATTAGTTTTCAAATGTTCAACTTGAATCACATTTCTTACAATCGGTGTATTAACCATGAAAAAAACCAAACAATAATTTGGTTGAAAAAACCTTTGTACTTTTGGCTCAGTGTGATACGTGTGTAATCCTAGCGAAGTCGGGGGAGGCGCATGAAAGACATTTTTTAAGGAAGAAAAGAATTGGTTATAAAAGTTGAATTTAATAATTTTATGTTCATCACACGCACTGTCAGAGAAATAATAAAGTCTTCTACAATTGCCGATTTTCAGCACATATAGAAATTATGCTACTAGAAAACATACTCTTTTACACCCCTGCAAAGCCACTGAACTTTTTCCATTAATTAATTTTTCGATGTCCTTGGGAAAAACCCTGGTCGTCCTATTAAAAATGTAAAGTTGCAGATTTACTAGAAATCCATTCAAACATGGGAAACATATCGAATTTTTCGCATTTCAAAAGTTTTAATGGACAATTTGGTAGCTTTAATTCAAGTTATTAACTAATAAAAAAACACCAAATTAAACTTATTTAGTTCATAACGAATACTTTCATAGCCAAAAGTATTGATATGAGTAGGTATCGATACTTTGGATCCGATATTTTTTAGGTATCGAAACTTTCTTTCGACACTACTTCCAAGTAAAACTATCGATACCTACATGGTATCGTTTCATCCCTACTCAAACCCAAAAAAATGATTTAACAAGGCGAAAATTGTATGGCTTCTATTGTTTTGAAACCAAAAAAGTTTTCATATTCGGAAATTAAAGTTATATTTAAATACTTTCCTAAACTTATAATTTCAAGTGATTCTCAAAGTTAAAGTTCAAGGAGTCAAAAGCGAAATTCCTACTCACTACCAATAGCATTAAAATTTCATTAAATGAATGGCGCATGGTTATCATAAGATCCTATTGCTTAGGAAACGAAAGCTATTTAGAACAATAAAAAATTATAATAATTTTAAAGTAACGCTTTTGATCTCCCAACTTTAGTAGAACAGTACAAAGTGTAGCAGATAAACAACAAAGAGTGCTTAACTGAAGGGAAAAAGACAAACGGATAGATTTTTGATAAAATAGCGTGCGCTGAAAAGCACAATACAGCGAAATTCTATGAATAAATTAAACGAGAATTTGTTTGTGTTTTTCTATTTGAAAGAATTTTGGTTGGATTAGTGTTGACAACGAGAGCATACGCGGTTGGATTTCAACACTTATCCGTTCGTTTATAAAAGTAGGCATGTGAGTGTGTGTGTTTATTTTTGACATATTGGTGTAGCCGCGGGGAGACTTACATAAATATATATCTACTGATGGGAAAAATATTTGTTTGTTTTTGCAAAATGCAATCAATATTACTTTATTGTGATTTAGTCACATTTGAAAACATATTTTTCTTTTGTACAGAGCCTCAAGTCAAATAAATTTAAATACTGCCTTCCAGGTTGGGCCGATCTACAATATGAACATATATTTCAACGAACGATATAACGTCGCTCAAACTCAAATATGTGTTTGTTTGTTTTTATAATTGCCTGTATGCAAACTAGAAGAAACGGGCTACCTACGGGTACATACATATGCACACACATTACAAGCCTGTTATACAAAAAAAAAAAAGACTGGAAAATTTGCGCAAATTTCGTCGCCAAAATATCAATATCAATAAGAAAAAAGTAATCGAATAAAAATTACACTCAATTCAAGTTTGCACATTTCCCTTTGAATATTTTTATACACACAATCATACTCATTATTTTTTCAAAACACATTATCCACAATGTTTACTTGCACGTTGTTAAAAAGAACTGAGCCATAGCTATGACAACAATATTTGGCCATTTTATTTTTGCCTTAATAATTGTTTGTTTTCATGACATTCAATTTCGGATAAAATTGGTGATATAAAAACAATATAGCTTTGATTTCCATGCACATGTATACTTTACGTTTAGTCATTTTTTGGTTAAGGTATTAACGGTAGGAGTCTTTATATTGAAGTCGCTTATCTATACTATATATAAAATTAAAACCCAAATTTTTTGTTAGAGCAAAACAGCCGATGTACACGGTCGATTTCTATGAAACAAGTTTTAAAATGACATATTTGTAGTACAATAGGACATAGTGGTGTTTTTAAAATGAAATTTTAATAATAAGTATCTTTATTCTTCAATACAACTGTAATATAAGCGAATAAGCGAAGTTATTATAACAGAAATCAACATGATTTTGTGAAAATTTGTTTTTGTTGTTTTATGCAAGCTGAGGTTAGGTTGAAATAGCTGCCGGTAGACACACCAGCATTCTTAGGCCCACCACTAGCCCTTTTTGGCACCAAAAGCGACCCCACTAACTGAGGAAGCCGAACAAAATTTTTAAAAAATCCGGAACATCCTGAAAAGCTTCAAAATGACTTACGAATTGAGAATCATAACTGTAGTATCTTTTTAAAAGAAGTGCGACGCTAGCTTTTTAAAGAATAGTATTGAAGAGCTATGTATATCGTCGGTGATACTGCAAAACGTTCTATGTCACTTATGGTGCTCTGGGATCCCGGCCTTTTTTAGGTCTAGAAAATCCCGAGATCCTTGGCAAATAATCCCGGGATTTTCGGAATTTGTTATTTGCACTGATGACAATAATAGAAACTCCTTTACTTGACCAGTACTGGCTATATTTTTTTTTTATTTCATAATATTATTTTTTTTAATAAATGTTTAGCTCGTTGTATATATATGGGCTACATATAGTAAAATTGCATTTTTAGTTCTTAACAAGCCCTACGGAGTGGAAGCGCGCACTGGTTACCACTACATTGCAGTGACCGACTTACAAGTGCTTATTAAATGGCCTTTAAAGAGTATGTAGTTAATGTTCTGCTAGGACATATACTACGTAGTAATGTACTTAAGTATGTATGTGTGTAATGTTACGTATACGCACCTCATCCTTTTCGGCCAATGAATCACCGGTTTCTACACGAAAACGTTTAAAATTCGGATCTAATCCATCTAAATCGGATTGCGGTAGCTGGAAATAAAGAACAAGAACGAAATGCGATTGATTAGTAAGTAAATTAATTTATGAGGAAATTTAAATAAGACTCAAAATATGTTTCGCGCAAGAAAGTATAAATACTTAAGTATAAAGGCATTTCTTTAATCTAGAAATAACTTTAAGAAAACCACAAAACCACTTAAGGCACTCTTTAGTCTACATTCAACGCGCACCGCCTTTCATAAAAGCATCTGATTAACTTTTATGCCACACAAAATTTGTCTTAAGAAAAATAATATTCCTAATTGCCGCCAAGGAAGTGCTTTAAGGTTCTCATTGAAAGCGACCAAATATGAGACTTCATGGCCCCATAACATTTAGTAAATGTCAATGTCACACCTAGAGAATGAAAGTGCTGGCAAAATGAAAGCGAGAAGCGTAAATGAAAATGAAAGGATTACAATAACCCCCACAAAAAATGCCTGCACTTGTTTGGGTGCTTCTATGTATGTATGTATGTATGTGTCTGTGTGTGCGTTTACGAGATATGGAAGGCATTATTTCCTCTACGTTTATTACGTCATGCAGTGGATATTTTTAAGGCTGACTTTTGGCTATGTTTGTGCACATTTATGGTTTTGAAGGCCTATAGCCGTTGCAAAGAAATTGCCTCTTTGGGATTGTTGACATTTTAATTGCACAAACGTCCCAAGCAGCCATTACCCAGCAAAAAACTGCTTAAGTGTGGAAAAAAGAACGTTGATGGGGAGATGTGGTGATCTCCGAAATAGCTGCTATAACTTCTACCGCTTAGACTTTGTTGCTTTTTCAATTTTTCCTAATAAACAATCGTGGTACAAAGCTCAATAAAAATATTAAAAATGAAACATACTGATTTTGAAATGCTTTAAACCAAATGCATTTCAAAGTAGGTGAAATCAAATGCAGAGTCGTATAATTGACTGATGCTTAGAGCATCAACATGCTAAGGTCAACAGCTCGTTTCAATGCAGAAAGTCCGGTGTAGTTGTGGCGTGTAAAAAACTGGTTGAACATCAATATTTAAACTAGTTTCTTGCCGTACTGGGTTGCTACAACAAGACATACATACATACAAAAGTACTCTCACGCAATTTTCTCAACTAAATAGCTTGCAATTACAATGTTGTTTATGTAGGCAATAAAGAAGCGTGGGTTAGCGCAGCTCTTTTCATCTCCCAACAGTTAATTGAAATTGTGGGAACAATGTCTTGCGAGCTGAAAGCAACTGTTGCTAAACAATATCCTTGCGCGAAACTTGCTTTAGGTGGAAGCATCTCTTTATATCAGTGCAGAACAAATACTAAATGAAACGAAACAACGACTGGCTTTCTATTCCAACTGTTTACCATTAAGTGGTGGAGAAATCACCCATCAATTGTATATTGGATAACGTGCAATTAATTGCCAGTTTCGCACCTAATTTCAATTATTTGCTTTGGTGATTACTTTTCATTAGTAAACAAGTGATTAATGGACACAAGTGTAGTGGTATGAAGCGAAGAGAGTTGAAATAGGATTTATTTGTGCTGAACACCCAGGCGTTTTAATAAAAGAGACTACCACGGGTGATCGCCTAATCAAAAAAAAAAAAAAAAATACCCCGCAATTTTCGTCACCTTTTTCGGGATAAGTCCCTTAAACGTAGCAGGTAAGGACTTATCGAGCCTATTGTGCGAAAGGCCTAAACCCTTCATAAACTAAGTGATTGGGATAGAACAAATAGGCCATCTTGTCTGAATTTCGTATCTCCCTGAAATTTGCGTGGCTGAGTAGATGTAATAATTTTTGTAAGAGCATGCAGAGCAAGAGCAGACCTTGTGAAGGAAAGCTTCGTGTGCTTTATTCGACTCGGTCAAAATCGCTTAGGTTATTAAAGTGAAAGCAAAAAAAAGGAGGAGAGAATACAAAGTCTAGGATTCACCACACCGCGTTCTTTTAAATCCTGGTTAAATAGAGAATAAGTACGAAAACGAGTGCAGAAAATGCGATATTTTAAATTAAGACGCTTTTATTCTGACTAGGAGTGACAGTTACTGTCGAAATTCTAGTTATATGTAGTTTTTAAGAGCCTTGGAGATTTTTTTAAATTTAATACGTCGTTTAATTTATAAGGTAAATAATTATTTGCCAGAAAATATGCTGCTTTGTAGCTAAAACGTGGCAACTAGATATCCTTCAAGACTTTGGCAGGACTTGAAATAGACTTGACACGTACCAATTCGTCGATAAATTTCGCTAATTTGATATATATCGATAACTTGATGAATTGCAAAAACACAGTATTTGAATGTTTTTGAAATTCGTCTATCAATAGAACTCCATAACTCGACACATTTCGATAACCATAGATAACTCTAAGAATCTCGGTAACTCAAAAATTTACATATTTCGAAAACTTCATTATTTCGTTGTCTATCCGCAAACACGGTATAATTCGATGAAGAGCTCGATAAGTTAGAAGAACTTGATCCTTTACGATAACTCGATACATTGACATAACTCGATAAATTTCGTTAACTCCATACATTACGATAATTAAATAAAAATCGATAACTTGATAAATTCCATTAACTTGCAGAGTTTTGATAATCAAATAAATTTTTATAACTCGATAATAGATTCCGTTGACGCAATAAACATTTTAACTCGATAAATCTCGATAACTATAAATTATGATAATTCGATATATTTCGATAACTTTAAAGTTCGATTGCTCTGTAAATTTCGATAACATGATAACCAAATTTTTGGTGACTAGATTTGTTCGATTCTTATAAAAAAATTTAAAAAAAATTTCCTTAATCCTTAAGTATTTTTCAGAGTTTTCACTTTTATCTTTATCTTAAATTTTTTCTTCACTTTTTTACTTTTATTTCTTCATTACAAGTCTAACTTGAAATACGAAGTAAAACAAAATGTGATGACTACTCAAGTTGAAAAGGACGCTACAACAACCATACAAAAATACGGAAATTTTTAAATTACGATTTTGGCAGTAATTTTGAACCAATACTACTACTGAAAAATACCTATCCAATTGCGTTCTTGGTTCTGAAATCGGTTCGGTAGAATCGCCAAACGAACGGTGACAAAATTTATGTTAGCGTATTACCAGGTCGCTTATATGGTTGCAGTGCCTTAGGAGAATCTGCATAGGCCCAAAACCTGGTCGCACTAATTTTTTATGCCATGTAAGCAGCAGAGTTATGAGAAGAGGGTTCATAAAACCGTTCAAATTCCAACAACATGCTCTCTTAAGGCGCTAATCTCTCAATCCAGCATGTTGTTGGAATTTGAACGGTTTCATGAACCCTCTTCTCATCACTCTGCTGCATACCTGGCAGTTCATTTTAACAGAGGCGATTGAAGTATTTATTGCAGAGCCTATTAATCTACTCAGGCTTTCTTAAGGGCATCCGATAGTTATTGATACCGAGGAACAACACTTTAAAGACCTTGGCTTAAAGCTTCATAATGGATGAGTTTTATGAAGGTTGGATGCAACTGTCTACATTTCTCAGTGTTTCAGTAGATCCAAAATGGAAGGCGGGTATGGATTAAAAACAGCGAAGCAATCTATTCTGAATAAAACGATGAAAAATATTTTTGCATGTGTACCATTATTAGATTTATAACAGAGATTTGGTAAACTTATAGAATTCAGGATTTTATGAATTTCACAAAGAACTTCAACCTTAAAAGTTCAAGGCAAAAATCAAATTTTATATCATCAATATTAATCAAATATAAATTTCCATTTGGTTCACGTAAAACATTTAATTATCCACACAAAGCCACAAAATTCTACTTGACTTTTCATGCTCCAAGTATCAAAGTTCAATTAAGTGTTCTTAGCCATCAAAGTCGAAGCATGGCATGCAACAAAATACGTATACTTGTGGTTGCTGAGTGAGTGATTATCTGTATTAATTTCCTTTTTCCACATCCTTCATTTTCCTTCAATTTACTTGTCGTCTGTTGCACATACTCCTCTCAATTCGAATCTCCATTGTCTACAGCGTTGTATTAATTTCACTGATTTCAGCAAAAACCTTTAACCTTGTGCACTTAAATCACTCTTCGTGTTCATATTCAACGCTCACAAATATAGTGGCTTCATCGTGGTTCTTTGACATCATTGTCGCTGAATCCTTGCTCTTAAAGATAAGTCTTACAAAAAGCTTTTTTTTATCTTTCTCAATTAATCACGCCGCACATCGCTTCAGGTGGAATGTAAACTCCAACATTGCTTCCTACTCTGGCTCTGTAGGTTGTTGACAAGTTTTTGCCAATCATTCGAATTTGTGTGAATGCTGAATAATTCGAGTATTAAATACATACTTGCTTTGATACATCTCTTTGCTTTAGAAGAAAAATTAGTATATCAGTAAGCTTATGAAATTCGAGTCGTTTAATATTAAGGTTTCAACAAAATCAATTTGTTGTAGATATGTAGATTTGGGAAAATCTGGCCAAGCGCCTTAACTGCAAAGTGTTTGGAACTACAACAAAAGTAGTCACAATAGTGTTAATTATTTTTGTCATAATAGCCGTAAGAGTTACTTCTTAGAGTTATATTTTGCTCAATATTTTCTATTCTGTTTGGATGTATATAAACGAACACATAAGCCTATGCGTACCTAATAAGTCCTTTACTCTAATTCGGCTATGTAAATATGTATCAAAATTTTGTCAAATATTCCACAAACATAAAAAAGCGTCTGGAAATTTTAACCCCTTGTCGGCTTTATTCAAATTCCTTTTGCGCTTTTAGAACTTTTCAAAGTTATTCATCACAACGTTTACTGAACTTAAGTAAATCCACAATGCTTGATGATATACTTACATACTACTTCCACTAGTAATTTAACACTATCCACCCGTCGCGTCGCCAACTGTGTTAACTGTTGCGTTTCACACTTGCGAAACTTTTGTTCTGACTTTGTACTATATTATGTATATATGTTAATGTATGTACTACACATACATAA